GCCCCTCAGTTCCACGCTCTCTCCGGTGACTTCAACAAGCTCAGCTGGTTCATCACTCAGATTCATCTCGATCAACACCATCCAACTACTGATACACAGTTAGTTACCATCTCTTTTAAAAATATTTAGCAGAAAGAGAAAACTGGTGAAAATTTTTGTTTGTTGATGATTTCTTCCAGATTATGGAATGGTCTCGGACAATTAGCGGATGAAATCGTACAAGTGGAGGACGGACTGTGCTGTGGGATGGCTGAGATCTCAGAGCTAGATGGACCATTGACGCCAGCGCTATCGGAGGTGAAGCTCAGCTACCAAACAACAAACGGGCTACTGAGCAAGATCCTGGATGTACATTCGTATCTATGCGATTCGCTGGCGAAGGCGGCCTCGATCCTGTCAATCTATCGTTTGGTCCTGGGCCATCTGAGCCGGGCCATCAACTCGCTTCAAGCCAGCCTGCTTGACCATCTCGAGCCGAGCAACCCGGTCTTCCCCTTCCCACAGACCGCCGCCTGGGCTGCCGCCGCTAGTCTCTCACTCGCCTCCTTTGCTCGTGCTATCACTATCTTTTGCTCTATCACTATCTTTTGCTCTATCTCTGGCTGCATTCATCTTCATACTCAAGGTGCTCTTGTCTCTGATCCTCTTCCCATCGGCTCCACTGCTCATCCTCCTGTTCGCTTCTATCATGCTATGTCTAATTAATCACTTTTTTTCTGCCCCCATCTCAGGATGATCAAAGTTACGCGCGAAATCGATGTCCTCAAACTTGTCAAACATCCTAACATTGTCAGACTCTACAATGTGATTGAAGTGGAAAAGTACATTGGGATCATGCTTGGGTATGCCTCTGGTACGCAATCAATCTTTTATGTATTTATTTCCACCTTGATCAGAAGCTTGATCTTTACACGCTTGCTCATACTAGCTGTCTTGATCTGTTTGTTCAGGTGGTGAACTATTCAACCATATCTTAGCTCATTGCTACTTGAAGGAGAAGGATGCATCAAAACTGTTTGCTCAGCTTATCTCTGGAGTTACTTATCTTCACGCCAAAAAGATCGTTTATCCGGATTTGAAGCTAGAAAACTTGCTACTTGACCGAAATCACAACATCGTTATCACTGACTTTGGCTTTGCCAATTGCTTCGAGGATCTTACCGATGATCTCATGGCCACCTCATGTGGTTCGCCCTATTACGCTGCCCCCAAACTTGTTGTCCAGGATGGTCGCTACGTCGGCTCTCAAGTTGATGTTTGGTCCTGTGGAGTCATTCTCTAGGCAATGTTGGCCGGTTACTTGCCCTTCAACGATGACCCTTCCAAACCTGATGGCAATAACATCAACTAGTACATCATCAACACACCCCTCAGCTTCCCTGATTGGATCTCAGATGAACCTAAAGATTTGCTCCTCAAGATGCTCGTCCCCAATCCGCTAAAGCGTCGTTCACTCAACAATGTCGCCAATCATTCTTGGCTATCAAGGTATCAGCACCTTTTTACTCATTCCTTGGAGCAGCTGGAACACTTTTTTTCATACATGAGTTCAAGCATCCTTTCTTTGTGTTCTTCCTCCTGCTCCTTCTTACAACAGATATATTTTCCCTTTTTTTATCTTGAGATACATTTAATGATGCTTTTGATCATCTTCTCATATCTATTAGTAGTTTTTTTGGGTTTTTTTTGGTATATGAATCAATCCATGTATCTGATTAAAGAGAAATTTGAACTATCATATTGAGGAGTGCTCCGCTGATGAATTGGAGGAAGGGTTCTATCCGCTATGTATGTAGAAGACTTTAGAACTCTCCGACTCTGGTTAAGTTAGCGCTAAAGCTGTCCGATTAATAGCTGCGTGCTGTTTTCCAGTTGCTTGAGAGTGCTTGGGGTGTTTTTCTTGCTTGGGAAGTCTACATTGTACTCCTGTTAGGCAACTCTCGGTGATATCTGCAGATTGTTGCTGTTGGTATGTAGGAGGTTGGCATCGATCCAAGTTCCTGTTCCTGCGGTCGTTCAATAAGGATAAAATGTTCTTAATCCTCAACTCTATAATCCAATCAATCGTGGAGAAGGCTATCATGAGTCTTACATAGCCCTTATCTATCATAGTGCTCTTCCTTGATATTCCTGGACTCCGAATGTCCAAATTTCCTTCTCACCATAATATCCACCACCATCCCACTCTGCTACATATGTAACATGGATTTTACAGATTAGTCAGATCCACTTGATTGACTTTTCCATCAAGCTACAATTTGACAAATCAGCATGGGTTCAGTTCAGATTCAACTCAGCCAACTTGTCTTGAAACATGTGTAGGGAATCAATCAATCCCCCTAAGAAGAAAATAAATAACATGAAAAAACTTCATCCAACCCAGGCCAATTGAAGCTGGGTTATGTGCTGGAAGTGGATTTCCAATTAATAGGAGAAAACTTGCTATGACCCCTCCAACGGCCTTGCCATCGTCTGAGTAGAGCAGTTTAGCACCGGCGAAGCCCGAGTAGATCTTGACGCCGAGGGCCTCGGCTTGTTCAGCCAGCCACCAACGGACCTTCCTGAGGGAGACGATGTAGTTGACCTTATTGTTCATCTGCGGGGGATGGGGCAAGGGGAAGGCCGAGCGGAGGGTCCCCAGGGTTAATTTTTTTTGGCGTTGTAAAGGTAAATGTAGTGTGATCTGTCGTTTCATGGTTTGAGTTGTCTCTGCTGCTGACGTAGCGTGAGGATTTGGTTTGACTTGAAACGTCTGGGTGACGCTGCGGGCCGCAGCGACAGCTAATTGTCCGTAGTGTATAGTTGAGTCGCAAAGTACTGCCTCTGTGGAGTTACTGGTGGCACCACCTGGAGGTCATGGGTTCAAACCCAGGCCTGGCATTTTTGCCCCCAAGGGCTTCTAATCCTACCATCCGATGGATGGTTTGGCCCTACCATCCGGGTTCAGCAATATGCAAGTCGCATCCAATGGATGCTCCTTGCAGGGCCAAGGTCGGATGGCATCTGGTACATCCGATTGGGTGTCCAAATGCCATCCACCACGCCCGGTGGTGTATAAGATAGACCGCCTCCTGAATCCACTCAGCCGCATCACGGGCAAGACAACTCAGTCGACTCCCATCAACCCTCCGTACCCATCACTGGTAGATGCCTGAAGGGGAAACATAGCCGGGTCTAGCCGGGTATAGACTTTAACGGAGACTTCATGGAGGTGGAAGCTCATCCTGTAGTACACCAATCCACCAACTCAGTCCTAAAGCCTCCACGCTCCCCTCGACGGGTCTCGACGGGTACACAAAGCTCAGCACTCCACCCGGTCACACCACAAACTTCTTGGGATATCTTGCCTCATCAGGCATTATGTACCAGCAGCACTAGAATCCTCTGTATTGTAGCACAAGAAATCCTGACGGAATGATTTAATTTCAAAGTCCCCTCCTAACTTAACCTCGTCTCCGGGGCAACAACCGTGTGCCGGTCGGGCGGCTTGTGAGACGGGGGGATTGTGTTGAGTGTAGCAGGGATAAACTTAAAAAGATGCGTCTATGTATAATTTCAATGCTAAGATTTTTTTTTTCAATCACAGACAAGCAGTCAGTCTCTTCATGCCAACCTTTTTGCATTTTGAGGTCAAACTCCAATTATAGACCAGGAAATTAGGTGAACTTTCAGCTAATTATACAAGAACATTAAACTCCTTCCTTGATAAGAATTTAGAGTACATAAAAAGAGATGAGATTCAAGAGATGCTCAACGTTCCAGTTGTTGAGCTCAAAATCAGACTTCGATATGTTTTATTATTAAGATGGAGATTGAAGTGCTTGTCATTGGCCACAATTTCTGAAAGCTTGTAAGCTCTGTCTTTGTGAAACAAAAATAAAGTATACTCGACATTAATGCAACATATGTAGATCTTGAATACTAAAAATAAGCAGGATACATTACAACAATGTGATTACCTTTTTCTTAAGAAACTGCAATACCCAGATATCAAGAGTAGATTATAAGCAGGCAAGTTAATGGTTTGAAGCTGGAGACTGAAGGAAAAATCACAATTGTCTATGAGTAAGGAATTTTCAGTCCTTCACTGAATCTTGTGTAAAGAACCTTGATGCAAATTTAGTGGGGAGGCTGAGGGAGACTTTTCTAGAACCACATGAGTGTCTTTAATTTCTAGCTCAGAAAAGTTTTAAGATGGAAGAAGTCTCCTTCAGTACAATCTCTGATCAGAAGGTCAATAAAGGAAACAGCAAGAAAAACAAAGATAAAGAAAATATGTAAGATGAATCATGAGAACTGATGAACTTACCTAGCTCAGCAAATTAGTTTTAAGATGGAACAAGTCTCTGCTGAGCTAGGAGGGGGGCAGGGTGATGAGAGTCCAAGTAACCAATGGATTCTTGATTATGTAATCTCTTTTGTGAAACCTGTGTAGTGGGGTTTCATACTATGATCATCAAGAAGTCACTTGCCAGGTAAATTGATTTCCATCAGAGTACCATGGGATTCAATTTTTAAAAATGGGCATTTTGTCGGCCTTCTACATAAAATGTGATACAAAGCAGGGAGATCTAATATGGCAAATCTTCACTTTTATGCTAATGACTGGCTTCTGGTGATGTTCAATTTTGATGAAATATTAATTCGAGTGAGATGAATTCTGAAAAATTGTATTTTTGTGCCCTATGGTACTGGCCCTAAAAGAGATCGAGAGAATCAAACCAAAGCCCAAGGCACACACAAAATCAAAGATTACAACACAATTCAACTAACTAGAGGTATGTCAGGTTGTACCGCGCGTCTAGCTCTTCACGTATTTGCCAAGCCCCAATGGAACGAGTAATGACGACTCAATCTTGTCAGAATCAGATGTTGGCAGCCCGGAACTAAGAGACACGGCATTCAACAGTCATCTCAAGGACTTGCGGCTTCTCTCAAGCTAGACAAGTTGGTCCCTGTCGTCTGTTGATTGGATAAACCCCTCTGGAGTTTTTGTTTTAGTACTGCTTAGCACACAAAAACATGGCTGGACGCGATATACCGGGTCTGGATCTTGTCCTCGTCGAGCCATGGCGGAACGAGTAAAATGTGGACAAGATCCCGGCAGAGTCGGATATCCGCAGCCAGAAACCAAGACGCAAAGCATTGAAAATCGAGCTACAGCATTGTTGACGGCAAGCAGAGGGAGTCAAGCGGCTTCCTTCAGGCTGGCTGAATTTTTCCCTGCCGTCCGTTGATCTATACTGCTCTGGAGTGTTTGTCTCGTTTTTAGTACCGCTCAGCAAACGGATACATGGCCGGATGCTATATGCCGTATCTGCCTCTTGTCCTCGTTGAGCCACGACGGAACGAGCAATGTTGACGAGATCTAGGCGGTATCAGATATCAGCAGCTTGTTTTGAGTACTGCTCAGCAAGCAAAGACACGGCCGCATGCTATATACCGTGCCTGGCTCTGGTCCTCATCGAGCTCCAATGGGACAATTAATTTTGATCAAGTCTTGATACACTCGGAAATTAGTAGCCGATAACCAAGAGACACATCAGTAAACGTACTATCTAGTGAGCTTCACACCAAACAGAGGGAGTAGAATGACTTTCTCTAGACTGCTCAAACCTTCCCCCGCAGTCCATCCATAAATATTGCTATGCGGCATTTGACACGTCCACAGTACCAATTAGTATGTTTGGTGTGGTACCATTTCTGACTCACATCCTCATCGAGCTCCGTTGTAACAAATAACAATGGACAAAGCTCAAGTATGCAACAATGGTCTGTCTGACTGGTTGCTATGGTATATAACCCCAAAGCTTCCTCACTGGCTTTTGATGCAAGTTGAATCTCAACGCTGTTCCACAATTTTACCTTCTGGTTATTTCCTAGTCTGAAGAACAACATGCGATTTTTGCAATTGCTTTTCATAGTTGAGTTTGGTTAAAGAAAAGTTCTTTATGTCTTAAAATAAACCCCTGAATGAACACAAGACTAATGTGTCTTTGGACAGGCTTGTGCTATGATTTTACCCAATTCCATAATACTTGCGATGGAAGAAATAGCAGAGGTTGGTGAACAAAATCTAGGACAAAGAACTGGAAGACTTTTCAACCATCGTGGGAGTACCTCAAGCGATGTAAAAAGCGAAGGACTGGCCGACGCTCCTGAAAACCTGACTTCTAACATGGAGCCGGAGTCTCACGGTCTTGACCCTCAGGAAAATGTGAACGGCAATCAGCTTCTTCATAAAGTCCAATCGTTGTATTGGTATTGGGCACCAGAATTACTTATGCTTGCATTAGCAGGCCCCCTGATGAAACATTGGCCCGAACTTTTTGAGCCTCGTCAATCTACATACAATTTGATTCCTGGTTTGTGGATTGCTGCCGCACCTGGAATGGCTTGGAATTTCTTCCGTGGATCCAAATTTATTTCAAAATTCATTTCAAAAGCTTCACATGATTAAGTCTACATTTGGATTGGCTATTAAAACCATTGAAATATGCCATATTCAATACTATCAGAGGTTTTCTGAATGCAAAAAATAAATTTATCATTTGTAAATACAAACACGTAGAGTTTCTCAAACTGAATAGAAAAATGATTTTAGTTTTCCATCAGGAATTTGTTGCTTATACCTATTATGTGATCAGCTTTACAGATTTTGGTTTGCTGAATTGAAAAAATGAATAAATTTTTAGAGGTATGACTCTTGTTTCCAATCTAAACTTTGAAATGGCTTTCTGAAGAGATGTTTATCCTAATTGAAAACAAGGGTGAGGCGAAAGGCTTTGCATGGTCTCAGTTTGATCAGGGACCAGCAAGTAGAGTGAAGTGAAGTTCAAGTCTGATAACCTACTGTACTATGAAGACCAATCGACAAGATGAGAATCAACAAGAGGTCAAGATGGAAGGGAAGCACTTTGGTCAGGTCGGCGAAGTGTTGAAGGAAGGGATGTGTTAATTCAAGGAAGCAAAGTAATGAGACTTGTGCTATACGAGAGAGCACAGTAATGGAGCTCAATGAGAAAATAAGATAGTGATGAGTTTCACCAAATGGAGGAACAATGTTTATCAGAAAAACAAGATGACAATAGAAATGTTTGGGTTGTAGAAATAACCCAGAAGTTCCTAGCCTGGGAGAAAGAGATTCATCCTCAGACAGCCGAGATTATATGATGGAAGAAAGGTAGTCAATGAGCTTTGATCTTTTGATTTCTTAGTGAGGTTGAGGAGGAAAAAGCGCGGTTGGGTAGCAGAATGAGGATTTAAGCAAAAGATGATGTCATATGTACTAGTAGTCTTTGAGGTTGGAGGAATACGTCCGAGTACCATGGTACTCAGACTTCAACATTGACAGTGTTATTTCCGTTGGTGACAGGGAGATTATGAGCTGTCAGCTGCTCCCTCCAACAAAAGTTTCTTTTCTTTTTTATACAGGGATAAATGAGAGTTTAATAACAGTATATAACACTGGTTAATGGTCTGTAACATGCTTTTTGACCCGGACCCTTGCAGAGTTTTTGTAAAACTCCTTGATTACATGCAGGGCTTGACTGGGCTGGAGCAAATTTACAACTCCTATTGTCAGATTTGAAACTTTCATCTGTTCTAGAGGCTCATAATTAGAAACAATCTCATAGCACCCAAATCTCCTATTAACACCCTAATAAATATTTACTTGTGACTTGGATTAATCAACCCCTCAAAATGTTGGAAAATAAACAGTTCAAGATTCATATTCCAAATTCCTTGCAATATCACGATCTGAATAGAAAATACCTGAGGCAATAAGAAATGACTTAATCTTTCAGATTTAGCTAACCATAAATTTTTACTCATGAAGAAAAAGAAGACAAATTAATGTGGTTCATAGTCAAAAAAACTTCACTGTTTCTTTGTTTGGAGTAGAGATAGTTCATCCGTACTTTTTGCAGGTACCTGGTACCTCCTGGGGGGTACCCCTCGCACCCTCCCCGCACCTGCCAGGAGGTGCCAGGTGCGGTACTTGGTACCTATTTTTGTGAAAAATTGAACAGGTACCTAGGTACCTCTACAGGTACCCCCTCACTTCCCTACCAAAAATCAAAATGATGGTGGCCTTCTACTCCAAGAACTCCAAGATCCAAGAAGGTACCTTGGCTGCATGGAAACAGGGACTCAAGGATAACAAGAAGTCTAACAAAAAATCAAAAAGGAAGGTGATGGTTTTGGATGACAATGAAGATTCTTCCAATTAGTTATAAGTTGTAGATAGTTTCAACTTTTCAATAAATTATTAAATATGAACAAATGAAAAAAGTGATCTGGGACTAGAGATGTCAGCAGGTACCTGTTTGCAGGTACCCGGTACCCGTTTGCAGGTACCTGTTTTCCAAAGCAGGTACCCGCAAACAGGTACCGGGTGCAGGTGCGGGTGTCAACATTTGCGGTAAAAAAAGGCAGGTACCCAGGTACCCGCCTTACACCCGCCCTGGGAATGCTTCCCCTGAATAATTTCATTTATCATTGGTGGTCCAAAACTCCCTTTTTTGGGTGTGTTGGGCTGCACAAAGGTGTCAGCAACCCATGTAGGACACCAGCTAGTGTCTTACATGTGTTGCTGAGCTAATATGGTTGCTTTGTTGAGGCTGGAGGGTTCCCTCCGGCCTTTGAGATGGTGTACAGTCTTGATGACTGGAGGAATTCCTCCAGTCATAAAGACGGTGTACAGTCTTCATCAATGGACATTGAATAAGGCAAATGAGGCCAAGCAAAAGGGTAAAGCTAAAGATAGATCAGAGAGAAGATAAAATTCAAATTGGTGATGGAATAATTTGTTTTTCTTTATTTCTTTATTTTTATTTTATTCTTACTCATATATCAAGTGAATATCAATCTTATATTTACCAAGTCATGCAGAAATTCAAGGGTGAGATTTCTGGGTATATTTGCCTGCAAAAATGTGCCAGGTACCTGCAGGTACCCGGTGCAGGTACCCGGGTACCCGCCCTGGCTGCCCTAGCAGGTGCGGGTGCGGGTGCGGGTGTCAAAAATATTGGATTTTTGAGGCAGGTACCCGCACCCGCTACAGGTACCCGGGTATCGAGCAACATCTCTATCTGGGACTGATGTTTTACAATAAATATGAAAAAAATAGAAAAGTAAGATTCTTCCAATTAGATGTAGATATATTACAACAGATATTAAAAAATGCCAAAAAAGTGACTTGTGAGTGATATTTTACAATAAATATGAAAAATAATAATAATAATAAAGTGACTTGGGACTCTGGGAGTGAAACTAGGTGAAAAAGAGAGGGGTGGTACCTGAGGTACCTGCAACGGGTACCTTGGGTACCCCCCGGGAGGTGTCTGGTGCGGTACATGGTATCTATTTTCTTGAAAAAATGAACAGGTTCCTAGGTATAAACAGGTACCCAGGTCCGAACGAACAATCTCCAGTTTGGAGTCAAAAAATGATAATACAATGTTAGATTTGGCGAGCATAGAATACAAATCATCATAGAATGAGAAACACCAGTGGACCACAGTGAGCAAAAGATAGATACTAGGGAAGTGAGGACATGAGAAATGAAGCAATGAAGCAAATACCATTAACCTGAGAAACACCAGTGGACTGCAGTGAGCACAGGATAGATACTTGGGAAGTGAGGAAAATAAAAGTGAAGTGATGAAGGAAATACTATTTAACTATTGAGGTGAGACAAATGAAAGTGACTATGTAGGTTTGCATTGCAAGCAGATAAAAATAAAAGGAAGCAAAAAGGAAAATCACAAGCCAAGAAAGAATGAAACAAGCCAAGCCTGAGAAACCCCAGTGAACCGCAGTGAGCACAAGATAGATACTAAAGAAGAGAGGACAAGAGAACTGAAGAGATGAAGGAAATACTCACCTATTGAGGTGAGAAAAAAGAAAGCAGCTATGTAAGTGAAAAAAAGAGAAAAGGAGGAAAACAAGGTTGTATACAGAGGAATTGAAGTACAACATCTAAACATAATCTAGATGATATGTACAGTGGCTAGACAGAAAAAACCAAACCCTGCGCATGGGGTTCAGATTTGGCGGGTGTCACTCTTATGACACTTGACAGCACTGGGCTGCTATGCTTTTGGACCAGGGTAGCGGTTTGGGCACCAAAATTGTGTAGTGTTAGCAAAAGGTTAGCAGCGGTTTGCACACCAAAATTGTGTAGTGTTAGCAAAAAGTTAGCAGCTTTTTTCTACGCTACGGGCCGCCACAGTGCCAAAATGCCACTAACCAGCACATTAGCACAGCATAGCAGTCACTTTTCAAGGGACTGCATGCTTAGTGTCAGTGTGGATGTGGTGGGATTCTGCTACACTATGCTAAAGTTTATCAGAATTCATCTACATTATGCTGTAGCCGCTAACCACTACAGTTAGTGTAGCTGGCCCAGTGTTGCACTTGGGCGCGTTGCCTGCACCACTCGAGTTGATCATTGACGGATCATTATTGCCAAGTGCCATCAGCAACTTGTTTCTCTGGTATAACATCAAGTAAGTTTCTGATGCTTTCTATTTTCTTCCTTGTTGATTTTTTTCTTCCTTTAGGATGGTCCAAACCAAACCCAACTGAAAATCGCACCTCTCAACAGAGACAAAATCAATGGTTGTTGGGATGGCCAGGGCGGGCAAGAGCCTCAATTACCTTTTGAATGAGTTCCACACAGTAAAATCAAACCTTTTGGGGATCATCAGCCAATGGAAGAAGACCAGAGCCAGCCAATCAGAACCCCATTCTGGCTGAACTCACCTCACCACCCAACGCGACAAAAGAGAAATCAAGTGTCTGCTTGAGGATCAACGTTGAGCTCCAATGAGGGAAATTGTGGAGTAGCTGACAACTCCAATATCCATCCAAACAGGCTGTCATTGAGCTCATGACCTTGGCTACCAAAACCAAAGGGCTGTCAAGAAGCCCTTTGCACCAATGAAACATTGTTTGAGCTTGGCAAGAATTCGAAAGCCATCTCCGTCTGGCTCCAAACAGACAAAAAGTACCTCCCTGACTGACTTAAGCCAACTTTCCAAAGTGGACGTTTGTCAACAATGATCTGGGGTGGCTTCTTTGATAAAACAAGGCACTGGTTCTCTTCATCCCCCCCCCCCTGGCCAGCACAATTCAGCAAGCTTCATCAAGAACATTGTAAGACTCAAAAGTGGTTGTGAGAACACTTTTGCTGAATTTTGAAGGGTATTGTGGAGTTGCAAGCTCAGCCCTTCTGTACTATCAGATAACAAGACCCACAAAGCTCAGATTGGCAAGTTTTAATCAAGTGATAAGGGTGGTTGGTTTGAGAATCAATTCAATTATGTGAGGAAAGAGGCTTTGAGAGTATGAGAATGAGTTTAGTGTGTATTACAAGTGTAAGTGTAGTTATAGGTTGTTATGAAGGTTGTCACAGTATTTAATGTTAATGGTATGGTATTTAATGGTAGGGGG